ATAAGGACACATATGGAGAGCATTAAGCTGAGGTAAGCTGTTGTAGAGCTTAATAGAGTAGCAAGATATGAAAACAAGCATATCTGGATTATACATCATAGATTTCAACTCCATATTAATTTTATGGATTAGTGGTACCTAAGAGTATATATTTGAACTGATTTTTGACTGAATGTACTCAGTCCAATTTTTTTCTGGGTATATATAATTGTCTTCAATGCTACAGATTTTTTTTCCTAAGTTGAACAATGACTTCTACCTCCATTAGCCTGAACAAATCCAAATGTGATCAATCTTCCTCAAGTGTCTCTAACTTAATTAAATTAACAGATGAGACACCTAGCGGGTCATATTATAGACATAACTGTAATCCTTAGTTACATGCTTCACCTCACTTTATTTTAAAAGAATCATTTAATTTAAAACATATAGGGAGATGGCTTGCTATGAAGCAAACATTACTCTCTTTATTTCCAAGAATGCTTCTGGACCCAACACAGAATATATAAGCAGCCTTAGAAAATAAAAGTAGTGGATCACTCTAGCCATGTGTTCTGTGTGGAAAACTTGAGGTAATTGTGACCAATAAGGGGCAATGGGAAAAAACTTCAGCAGTTTGTCTTCACAAAAACAGGTACTTATATTGTGATGAAGCCCAATCTAATAGATTGAATGTAATACTCTTTATGAATGTAATACTCTTCTTTCATGGCAGCCATTTTGTGAGAAAAATACTCAAAATTACAGATGGCTCTTGCTTTTTTAGCTTCAGTGTTGCAGCATTGTTCAAGCCTGCCAGAGTGAATGTCATTTTATTAGAAGTCAAAAACTCAAAAACACGAGCTAAGAGCAAAAGATATAAATTACAATTAAGCCACTTTGAGTCCAGAATTTGTTTCATTTTATTAAATGCCAGAGCTCAACTGAATTGACAATTGTTTCATACAGATCCCAAGATTTCTTCATTCATGCAGCCTGCATTAGTTGGGAAAGCTCATTTGATGCCTGCCAAATGTTATCATTACTTGAGCATTAGAAATACTTGGTGGTCTATTGCAAATTATTTATACAGTACATCTCCAGTGGGTCTGGATCTACCCTAAGCTCATTCTTGGTCATATCAAAAGTCCACATTGTCCAGCATTTCCTTCCCATGGTCCTATGCACTGGTGCACTGAAAAAGGCCCTTGCCACTGAGCTAATTTGCTTGCAGTGGAAGGGAGGAACAGTAACACTCTTTGCCCTGGTTGAAATTCTCAGTGTAGTAAGCTGGTCATGGTGTGATTTTTTTTGGTGCACTTGAGATGACTGAAGGTTCTCTGAAGCCAGCTCCCTCACCTGGTCTAGTTTGTCCCTCATTTGCAGGATATAGTTAATTTTGCTTGAAAGAGGCTTGGCCTTTCCTTCCCAAGTTTCCCTAAACATCTGAAGGGTTCCCCTGACTTTTTAGCCATATACAGTAGCAACTCAAAAAGAGAGAATCCTACAGAAATCTGTAGGACCTTCAAGAGTTCCCTCAGGTTGCCCCAGGATTATATCATTAGCTAATTTGGGACTCATACCTACCTGGAGAGAAAATGCTCACCTCCCAATTTCAACTGGGACCTTAGCCATAGCATAGGGCCTTGATTCACCATCAACCCTTAAAACAAGAACTTGCTTCTTTGGGACATGATGATGATGAATGAATTTTATTGGTTAGTCAGTTGACCTTATCAATTATTTGGGATATGCATTGGGGGACACAGATGTATCTTTAATGAAACCGTGTAAGCATCCATTAGTGTTCCTTGCAACTGATATTCAAAAGCATACTGTATTTGATAACCGAGGTAACTATATAGTTTTCATGAATAATAAATATTAATAGTATTATCTTCCACAATTTTGTTTAGTAAAATCTCAAGGCAAAATTCAAACTGAGCTGTAGTATGAAAAAAAACAACAACTAATGTATGCATTTTGTACATGCTTGTAATATATATATATTTTATAAGCATTTTCCTAATATAATGTTTTACTACACACACTTCCTCCTAATAGTCATTAAAAAATATTCTATTTTATAGTATTGAGTTGCAAATTTTGGGAAAGTCTGGCATTAAAGTACAAGTTTATTGTATATTTGCAGAATATGAATTGGTTAGGTTTCACTGTCAGCTAAGCAAATTTCTCCCCCTTACCATAACAGCAATCCTTCTATAAGGTGTTAAAACTGGTGCTTTTCTGGGAGACTCAAATATGAGGATGGGAAGTATATTATATGGTTTAGCAAGCATCAGTAGTACTAAAATAGCACTCTGTGCATCTATGACTTGATTTATGGAATTTGGTGTTATTTAAGAAATAATGCTTAATTTCTAAGTTACATTTCTGCATCCTCAAGTATATTAAATTTCTTAACTGACTGTATAAGCCACAAAACAGTGACAAGCAGTTCTCATCCAAGGATAGAGATTTTTTTTTTTTTTTTTTTTTTACATTTCTGATTTTCCAGTCTGGAGGATTCATTGTTTCGGCTCATTAGGTAATTATTTTCTGCTGGTGAGTGTTCCACCACATGAATAAGGACTCTCTCTCTTTCCCCCTGAGAATGATAACTGTTTCCTCTTTACAGACAAATCCTTGCAGCAGCAAAAAGGGCTGATCAAGTTGGCCATTTTCTGTGGGTGGCTTCAGACACTTGGGGTTCCAAAATGACCCCGGTCATTCAACAAGAAGATGTTGCAGAAGGAGCGATCACCATCCTGCCTAAGCGGGCAACCATTGAAGGTAAGCCCTTCCTGTTCTGCCAGCCTCCCTGCACAATTTGGTTTTTCCTTGCTGACGTTTTAGATCAGTGTTGTCCAAACTTGGCCACTTTAAGATGAGTAGACCTCCACCTTCCCAAATTTCCCCCCCCCCCTACGGCGGGGGGGGGGTATTTAATAATGTAGAAAACCACTTTTAAACATACACGATTTTGATCGCA